GGCCCCAGTCTCGGGCCTCCAGCGCTCCAGCTTCCTGAGGCGCGGACCCCTGCTTGGTCAGGTAAAGCAAGGGCCGCCCCCATGCCGCTGGCGAGTTCTGCCTCCAAGTTCACGTCCTGTGACCTGGAAGCCCCTCCACTTGGCCATCTTCCATCTCTAACACTTCCGCGGCCCCTTTCTGGGTTTTCCCAAGTTGGACTCACCCCAGGCCGAGAGGTTGACCCAGATGATACCAAAACCAGGAGATCACCAAGGGCAAGCTCAGCGCTGAGGCTGAGCCTTGTTCCTTCACAGAATCTTCTGGTAGGGTCTCTCTGACACCCGGCCCTGCCACCGTGTCACCATTCTCACCTCCCTGTCCTGCTTGGGGCTCTCCCTTGTCAGGTGCCAACTGAGGTAGCAAAACAGGCTGGGGCTGGGGCTCAGGGGCAGAGGCTTGCCTGGCTGTGGGAGGCACTGGGTTCCATTCTCAGCACCACGTATAAAAAAATTAATTAAATAAAGATCCATCAACAGCTAATAAAAATATTTCAAAAACAAAACATAAGTTAAATCTTTCTAACCTGACGAAACCCTCTCCTGCCTCTAAACTCCCATCAAAATCTGTCTTCTGCAGAACCCCAAGGCCCCCTAGTGTTTTTCAGAACCAAAAAGCAGTGCTTCCCACCCACCCCTGGAAGCAAGGTGCCAATGCCAGTCTCTGTCTTCAAATGATCCTTTTCAGTGAGTGATATGTGTGAGTCAGCAGGCTTAAAGATGGCACCATGAAAGTCCCCACCCGAGCCCTCTCCTGAGTCCCCTAGGGCAGCCGTAACAAAGCACCCCCCCTAAACAGCAGAAGTGTGTGGGCTGCCAGTTCTGGAGGCTGGAAGTCAGATCAGGACGTGGACAGGGCCGGCTACTTCTGAAGCTGTGATGGGGAATCTGCCCAGGCCCCTCCCCAACTTCTGGTGATTTTTCTGGTGTTCTTTGACTTATGGAGTGTCACCCTCTCACCTCCATCTTCATGTGGTACTGTGTGTGTGTGTCCCCATTTCCCCATTCTGTAAGGACACCAGTCACACTGGATTAGGGCCCACCCTGCCCCAGTGTGACCTCCTTTTAAATAATCACACCTGCAGTACTTGTTTCCAGGTAAGGTCACATGCCATGCTACTTGGGTTTAGGACTTATACATATGAACTGGGGAGCAGAGGGTGGGGCACAACAAAATTCAACCTGTAACCACCTCCCAGAGGCAAAACCACCAGTGTTCTTTCTAGTCCAGCTGGCACACGTCAGGCATTGACATAGGCGGTGTGCATTTATCCCCAACAGAACCATTTGCCACGTCAAAACAGACACAGAACCCTCCTCCTCTGAACTCTCTTGTTCTCTCTGCAACCCAGGAACCACATCAGCTCAGGCAACAGGGCTCCCGCCCAAGCCGGGCTCAGGGCAACTTCCCCTCATCCTGGACTGGCACCATCTATGCTCGGAGTCAGATGGATTTCGTTAGAAGGGGTTCTTATCACGTGGAGAACGTCCCTGTCAGTAGAACAGCTGCTCTGTGCATGTGTGCGCCTGCGCGTGGTGTGTGCGTGGGGTGGAAGCCAGGGCCGAGTGCATGCTAGGCACGCACTTTATTACTGAGCCCCTGCCCTGGCTGCCTTATTCTTTTTTAAAAAAATTTTTTTAATTGTACTTAGACACAACACCTTACTTTATTTATTTTTATGCGGTGCTGATGATCAAACCCAGGGCCTCGAACTTGCTAGGTGAGTGCTGTCCCCCTGAGCCACGACCCCAGCCCCAGCTGCCTTATTCTTAACAGCTTTGTGGTATTCCAGAGGACACAAACGGTCGTACCATAAATTATTAAGTGCTTCCCTTACTGGTGACTATTTAGGGCTAAATTTCTCCCATCAGGTGTTCCCATAAATAATGATAAAATGAATGTTTGACATAGACATTTTATACTGTGATGCAAAATGATATCTCCATTTTTCTCTTCCTTTTATTATAAGTGGAGTTAGAAATAATCTTTTCACACATATAAAACCCATTTGTACTTCCTTTTCTCTGAACTATCTGTCTACATTATCTTCCCATTAAAAATTGAATTATTTGTTAGCATTTACATATTAGGAAAATCAACCCTTTGTCTTTCATTTTTTCATTAGGGTTTTTATTTTAGTTAATTTTTTTAACAACACCTTTATTTTATTTATTTTTATGTGGTGCTGAGGATCAAACCCTGGGTCTTGGATGTGCTAGGCGAGCTCTCTACTCCTGAGCCTACAACCCCAGCCCCAGTTAATGTGGTTTTTTAAAATATTTTTTAGTCGTCAATGGACCTTTATTTTATTTAAATGTGGTGCTGAGAATCTAACCCAATGCCTCACACATGCTAGGCAAGTGCTCTACCACCGAGCTACAACCCCAGCCATAATCTGTTTTTTGATGTACAGAAATTTATGATTTTTATCTGGTTGAAGTTATCAATCTTGTTTTATGGCTTCTAGACTTTTCTACATATCTAGAAAGGCTTCAGTGGAGAAGCTATAAGTCTTTTTTAAGTTCTGAATGTCTCAGCCCTGCCTTTTTTCTCTTGCTGAGGTGATTCCTGGGCTTAACCCTTAAACCCGTATCCTTCTAGTTTCCAGGGAAGGAGATCTCAGTGATGCAAGAACGTGTTTATCTCTGCATCCTAAAACTGCCCTTGCAAGTGTATTTCTAGAGAAGTGAGTCTTGTAAGAATCCAGATTTCAGATGATGCTGTGCTATCTTGTGGAAGTAACTTTTCCCCTCTAGGGAGATTCTAGCTGGTAGGTTTGCTTATGGTCAGCTGTCCTGGTCCGGGGGACCTGCAGTGTAGATGTGTAGGTCTACACGGCTGTTTTCTCAAGGGTGGGGGGATTTTTTTCCCTATCCTTAAGCACTTTTTCCTTCTCCCATGTTCATGGGTATAAATACAGTCCACAGAGGCTGGGGTTGGGGTTCAGTGGAACAGGTAAGGCCCTAGGTTTGATGCCCAGCACTTCAAATAAATAAATAAATAAAAACAATCCACAGCCAACCATGGCTGTGCACGCCTATGATCCCAGCGGCTTGGGAGGCTGAGGTAAGAGGATTGCTTTAAAGCCAGCCTCAATAAAAAGCAAGGCACCAAGCAACTCAGTGAGACCCTGTCTCTAAATAAAATACAACATAGGCCTGGAGATGTGGCTCAGTGGTGAGTGCCCCTGAGTTTAATCCCCAGTACCTTCCTCTGCCCCCCAAAACAACAAAACATCACTGCTAGGGTTCCCAGTTCACAGAGGGTTGGGAATTTAGCAGATGAAACACTTTGGCAGGCCCCTGCTCACATCTGCTGGGCCCTCTGAGTACACTGCGGGTGATGCTGTCTCTGAGCCTCGGTTTCCCCACTCGTGTCCCCCTGGCAGCTGTGGCAAGATCGTGAGTGGGTGTGAGAACATGCTGGTCCAGCAGAACAAGGACGGCACTGGGGAGGTCTGCATGTGGGGCAGGCACATCTTCATGGGCTACCTGGACAGGGAGGACACGACCCGAGAGACCATTGACGAGGATGGCTGGCTGCACTCGGGGGACCTGGGCCGAGTGGACAACCAGGGGTTCCTGTTTATCACCGGCCGCATCAAAGGTAGCACTGGTGCCGGGTCTGGGCTCTGAGGGCCTCTTGCACGTGCTGGTGCAAGGGCTTCCTGGCTTTCCCACCTCCCGTGAAGGGCACCCTGGTGGGCACGACCCAGCCTCCTCCTCATGCCCAGGAAACCACCCCCATCATTTGGCACTCCATAGTCTTCCTGTGGGAGGACGGACCTGGAGGGACGGGCCCTGAAACACCCATCCCCTCCACTGTAGCTTGAGGATGTGAGGGTGCTCATCTACAGGGCTGGAGGGTTAATGGCAACGACAAGGGCAGGATCTCCCAGGGTTTCCTGGAGAAGGCCCCATGGAAAGTGCTTCTGGGTTTCCGGGACTCACAGTCTCCACTGCCACTGCCAGTCATGCCACCTTGGCACAGCCTCAGACGGTGCATGAAGGAATGGGTGTGGAATTCCACGAGATTTTATGTGTCACAAATAATCCTCCTTTCACTTCCTTTTGTCCACTTGGAAAATACATATTTAAAAAAATAAACATTTTTGGCGTATGGTCATACAAAATTGAGCAATGGGCCAGATTTGGCACACAGAACCATGTAGTTGGCCAACTCATACAGAAAGCATTTGGTATCAAATCTGACATAGGCAGTAACTATTCAATAAATGGGCTATGATAACATTATTTCTTGTGATGAGTGACAGAAAACTCATTTCAAATTGAGTGGCAAAGCAAAACTGTTGGCTAAATATAACTGAAAAGTCCAGAAGTTCTAGCTTCAGGCATAGCTGGATCCAGGTACCAAAATGACTTCACAATGAATCTTTTTCCTTCTCTGTGCTAATGCCATTGCTAATAAACTGGTTCCTGTTTTTGGCAAGAAGGCTACCAATAGTCTAGGTTCATTTCTAACTCCAAAGGGAAGAGAGTAGTATTTCCAGTAGTTCCAGTGCAAACACTGTATGCCTGGCTTTCACTGGACCAATGGAGAAAAGATTATCAAGAGGAATGCATGTGTCTCAGAATGAGTCTCACTGTAGGGGCTGGAATATGCCGACCTGTTAGACCTGGTCATCCCTGTGGTCCACCCCACCCAGGCCAACCGCATGAAAGAGCAGATTGCTAGTGAAACAGCCAGGGCTGTCCCCAGGGAGGGGTCCCTGGGCAGGCCATGCCACAGAGGTGTTCTGCACCATCACAGTGAAGATTCTGTTGGGACAAATGGCCATTGTAAGGGCAGCTTTGCCAGGTCCTGGGACTGGAGGAGACAGGATCACAGAATGAAAGAGTAAATTTTCTGGGTGTAGGGTAGGAGGAGACGTGAATTCTGGAGATGAAGGTTTCTGGAGACTGGGCAGAGGGGGAAGGATTCTTAGAGAATGAGGGATGCCACACACGCCCCCAGGGTAAGACTGGAACTAGTCTCCTAGGTGGCCAGGCAAGGGAAGCAGCAGCAAGAGACAGACAGAGCCTGGCCCCAAGGCCTTCACTAGCCTGTAAGCAAGACGTGAGAAAGGCCAGGACAGGCCTGGGGGCCAGGCGGGAGCTAGGCCTGGGATTCTTGATGGGAAAGCAAGTGACCAGGGAGATGGGGCCAGGGCCTACATGCTCCTGAGACTTTGGAGGTGAGTGTCATCTGCCGTTCTGTGCCCACCCCAGTGGGGGTTTCCTGTTGTCCTGGGTGGACCTGGTTGAGGCAAGCCTTGTTGCAGAAATCCTCATCACTGCGGGTGGTGAAAACGTGGCCCCCGTTCCCATCGAGAACCTGGTGAGGGAGAGGATCCCCATCATCAGTAATGCCATGCTGGTGGGCGACAGAGCCAAGTTTCTGAGCATACTGCTGACGCTGAAGGTGAGGTGGGCCCCTGCTGTCCCCCGGGGCCTCCACAGCCGGCCCAGCCCGGCCCAGGGCCAGGAGCTGGCCTGCAGGCTCAAAATCACTTCTTGGTCTTCAGGGCCTGGGTTGGGTGGGGCTGGCCAAGGACCGTGTGTGGTGACAGGGCTGTCCTGGGGCAGTGTGAGATGGATCAGGCGAGCGGAGCACCCCTGAACAGGCTGAGCTCGGAGGCCATCAACTTCTGCCGGAGCCTGGGCAGCCAGGCAGACACCGTGACCGAGATCGTGAGGCAGCAAGACCCACTCATCTACGAGGCCATCCAGCAAGGCATAGACGCTGTGAACCTGGAAGCCACCAGCGAGGCACAGCGGATCCACAAGTGGGTCATCTTGGAGAAGGACTTCTCCATCCAAGGCGGAGAGCTTGGTGAGTGGGCTGGGCAGCTGACGATGCCCACCTCAGGGGCTGGTCCCTTGCCGGCATCTGGGCCAGGTGGCCTCTTGGGGGTCAGAGGGCTTGTGGGTCTTGGCCAGGGGACTCTCTCTCCTGGTCATGCTGCAAGTATGGACTTTCCTTTCCTCCGTGACTCAATCGATTTCTCCATTCTCAACAGGTCCAACAACAAAAATGAAGAGGCCATTCATAGCCCAGAAATACAAAACACAAATCGAGAACTTCTACCAGTAACTGCCCAGGCAGGGCCTGGGCTGCCCCAGTGGTGAGGTCCAGTTGCTTGGCTTTGCTGGGCCCTGCTGATCGGCAGGAGTGGGTAGAGTCTCGGCCTGGGGCGAGTCTCAGTGGGTTCTGGGGAGCGTCTGGCCTCACTCCTGCTCCCCTCCCCGGGGTGTGGCGCCTCCTTCAGAGCTGGTCTGTGAGTGGACAGCCGCACTCTGCCTCTTCTGCTTCCTGCAAGGAGGAAGGGTGTGACCCCCGTGCTCAGATGGCATTTTCCTGACGCCTCCACGTCTCACTGGCTTGTCTGGAGAGGGCCTCTGGGCAGAAGCCTTGGTGGCAGTTTCACCTGCCAGGAACCCTCTCCCCCAGGTCATGGGGTCTCCCCTCTCCCCCAGGTCATGTCCGGGGCCTCCACTCCACCTGTGTGGGATTCTGGGCAGTGCCAGCAGAGAATGGGCCTTCAGCTGCCCCAGGCCACGTGACCCTTGTGTGGGCAGACCTGTTCTCTGCTCATGCCCCCCACAGCCCATGGTAGGAGTCTGCCTGGGCTGCCATAATAAAAGAGCACAGGCCTGGGCCTCAGGGAGCAGGAAGTTACTGTCTCAAAGTTCTGGAGCTGAAAGAGATCAAAGAGCCAGGGGGTGGTCCCGTCAGAGGACACAGGGGACTGTCCGGCCTTGCTCCCTGGCATGCAGATGGCCGCCTTCTCCCCCACCTCGTGTCTTCCCTCCATGCATCTGTGTCTGAATCTCTTCTTAAGGACACCAGTCGTGAGTGGACACAGTTATGCTGGGCTGGGGCCCACCCCAGGACCCTTCTTATCTTCTCTACCTCCCACCTCTGAACGAGGGAGTGTCTGAGGTGCTGGGGGTGGGAACTTCAACAGCACCCCCCCCCGTGTTGGTGTGTCCCTCTGACCCCCGGGGTCCTGTGGGGGCTGGTTGCCCACACCTCCGTACCCCGGCCTTCATGAGACTTCCAGTTGCACTCTGCAGGTGAGAAGCTATGGAGACGGGGTGGGGGTGGGGGGTGGACCCACCCCCCCACACCTGTGCTGCCCAGCATGGCAGCCCCTGGCCCCAGGTGGCCCACCTGCATTGGGATGTGCAAGGCACATGACTTTGAGGCTGGGAAGGAAGAAATATAAAAACCCCATTAATATTTTAAGATCCTGATGACACGTTGTGATACTTGGAGCACAGCGGGTACATAAAACATAGCATCACGTTAATTTTCATCGTCCTTCCCTAAGTGGCTACTGGAAAATTCTAGATGGCACAGGGGGGTTTCTCTGGGACAGGCCCACTCAGGGTTTGGTAGCTTGGGGTCTGGAGGACGACTGCCCATCACCAGGACCCTGTGTGACGACTCGTGTCCCCCAACACTAAGACTCGCAGCCACGGGGGCCTCCTGCTCTAGGCAGGGGCTCTCCCTCCTGTTCTAAGCCGCGTTCCATCACAGGTGGACCCTGCACACCTTTCCAAGCCCTGAGGTCGCGGTAGTCTGTGAGCGGTTGAGTGCCGTCCAGGGAAGCTTGCCTGTGGAGGAAGTCTGCCCTGGGGGCTCCACTTGGATTTCTCTTCTCCCCAGAGGACTCAATGAAACACTAGAAAGAAGGAAACCTTCACACGTTTGAAGAACTGGACCCCAACCACCCCCTTGCCCAGAAGCACCTGGGAAGCCCTTCCAGTAAGTGGACAAGGTGCTGTGTCTCATCCTGACGTGGGGCCGGTGCGGACGCTGCCTTTGGGGATGGTGGGCCTCCAGAGGCAGTGGGCCAGCTGTATGCAGTTCAGACTTCTGAGGTTTTCCATCCCACAGGCTGGCTGTGGAAGCTCACGAGATCATGTCCAGGGATCACACGACTGGCTGAAGCCCCTTCCAGTTAGGGGCGGGTCACTGCCATCAGATATTAGGGAAGAGGAATGACCCTTGACCCATCCGTCCTTAGGAGTGAGTTTGGCTGTTGTAATAAACTGCAAAATAACCACAACTTGGGTGTCTGTGCCTGTCTCATCTAGGAGCCCACTGTGAGCAGACCACGGCGCGGACCGGTTTCCCTCGCTGTTACAAGCAGCCTCGGTTAAACCCATTAGAGAGGAAAGGCTATCTGGCCTCCCAGTCCAGGAGTCTGCAGTCCACGATGGCCTGGCCCTGACTGTGTGAGCACCACAGCAGGGCCGCTCCCCTCAGGGCAGCCAGGGATCAGAGGCAGGAAGAGGGGGACAGCACGTCCCAGTGAGCTGACTTCTCCCACCCAGCCAGCCTCTCCAGTGGCACCACCCTGGGGACCGACTCCTTTAACTCATGGGCTTCTGGGCACATTTAAGATCCAAACTCTTTCAAAAGCCAACGAGAAAGTAGAAGGAGTGTTAAAGTCAGGACAGAGTGGCTGCCAGTCGTCAGGGGTGCGGAGGCCAGTGGGGGGGGGCATGAGAAAGGCTGTTGGTGTGGAAGGTGGAGGTGACCATTCCATCACCAGGGAGGGGCAGGTCACCACCCTGTGCCTCAGTCATTTCTTTTCCTGCAGAAGGTGGGCGGCGGGATTTGAGAGAAAAGATGTGGCCATGAGGTGGCACCCGCACACAGAGTGGTGCTGGAGGGACTTCCAGCTGCTGTCACTCAGAGGGAAAGTGGGCTGGGGTCCCAGGGCAGGAGGGAATGAAGAGGGGCAGGGATGTCAGGGTGGGGTCTCCCTCCAGAGGAGCAGGTGTTGGGTGCAGTTCCATCTGGCCTGCACAGTAGGCGGGCGCCAGCTGGCCCGGATCTGATCCAGGGACGGGAGACTGGGGAAGGAGACGAACTGACACCTGCCCCGAGTGCTGGACCACGGGCAGAGGGAGAGGCCAACGGGAGCATGCTCTGAACTCGGGCTGGCTCCCTGGTTTGGGCGGCTACATGCTGTAAGGAAGACAGTGTCCCTGTTTGGGGAAACTACATGCTGCAATGCACAGGGAAGATGGGTGCAGTGGAGGGAAAGGGAGAAGGTGAAGGGGCCGGGAGAAGTAGAGACAGACACCAGCTTTCCATTACTGTAAAAACAAGAACAAACAAAAAAGGCTGCTTTGGGCTCCCAGTCTTGGAGGTTTCAGTCCTGACGGTCCTGCTGCTCTGGACCATGGCAGAGCCCGTGGTGGAGCACGGCTGCTCACCTCATGGCCAGGAGCAGAAGGGCAGGGAGGGGTCCTGCTCTTTCTGTGGAGGACAGGAAGTCCTCCCACCTGGCCTCACCTCTTAAAGGCTCCAGCCTCCCGCCAAGTGCAGTCCAGGACTAAACCTTTAGCACATGGGCCTTTGGGGAAACTCTGCTAACCCTCAGCAGCACCAGAGGCAGGGAATGGCGTCACATGTTAACAAGTGGTGAATCTTGGCAAAGAGGATGTGGGAGATCTTTTCATTGCTTTGGCAAGTGCTAAGAGCCACAGCCAAGTAATATGATGCATGGCATTTTTGGTTTTTTAAAATTTTTTTATTTTTTATTGTTGGTTGTTCAAAACATTACATAGTTCTTGATATATTTCACATTTTGATTCAAGTGGGTTATGAACTCCCATTTTACCCCGTGTACAGCTTGCAGAATCACATCAGTTACACTTCCATTGATTTACATATTGATATACTCATGTCTGTTGTATTCTGCTGCCTTTCCTATCCTCTACTATCCCCCCTCCCCTCCCCTCCCCTCTTCTCTCTCTACCCCCACTACTGTAATTCATTCCTCCCCCTTGTATTATTTTTCCCTTTCCCCTCACTTCCTCTTGTATGTAATTTTGTATAACCCTGAGGGTCTCCTTCCATTTCCATGCAATTGCATGGCATTTTTAGTTGAAAGGTGATGCCAGCTAGCCACTGAGATGATATGATTATGTTAAGATTTTCATTCATATGGATATTGGACTCCTGCTGTTCACCTTGGCCTGCTATGGGACTCCTGGAGAGTTCCCATTGGTTGGGGAAGTGCAGTAGGAGGGAATTCCGGGGGAGGAACTTCTCTGGGGTTCCGCGAGAACACCGCGTGGGTGGATCGGGCGAGTTCGGGGCATTGGCGGCAGTTTCAAAAAATAAAGTTTGTTCCTGCTTGAGTGGTTCATGATTTTGTCCCCAGCCAGACTGCGGCAGGCAAGTTTTCTGTAACTTTGAAAATACTTGTATACGTGACTTGGAGATACATTTTAAAAACCTCTGGCTGATTTCTAGCCCCCTTCCTTCTGTGAGCAGGCATGCCATGGACATCTTTCTCTGAGGACAACTGCCCCATTCTTCCCAGCCCCTGCATGTCTTCCTGTCTGTCCCCTATCGCTGGACACTGGGCTGCTGTCACTCCCCCACACTGCAGTGAGCAGCCGTGACGTCTCCCCATGCACAGAGCACACCTATCCCTTCAGAGTGCTCCTCCACTGCACCAAATACCCTCCTGACGTCTTGCGCAGCGGCGTTCACGAAGGCCAGGGTGGGCCAGTCTGTAGACCAAGTGCCCAAGCAGGACACGCCCCACTGCTCGAGCAATCTCAGGAGCATGCTCATCTCTAAGCATCAACAGTATCATCCTTGGAAAAAAGGAGGACAGTAAAACACAACATTCCTGAAACGCCCCTCTCCATGCCCAAGAAACCTGGCCAAGTGAGGAAAATCAAGAGTCAGCCTGCGCGGGCGTGTCCAGACTCGGTCCCTCCCAGGAATCAGGTGAACCAGGGCTGCCTGGAGAAAGCGGCTCTCTTGCCACAGTCCTTGGAGCGCTGGTCCTACAGGGACAAACCAAGCTGGGCAGGGGTGTCACTGCTTCTGTAGCCTGACTCATTAACCCCTCTCCCTGGGGCAGCTAGGCAGGATACAATGCTGTGGACGGGGCGTGCCCATCCAGCTGGCCCCAGACAGTCACGTGGGATGGCACCGCGGGAAACAGGAGCCCTGTCCAGCCATCGCCACTGGACCTTCTGCAAAGCACCTGTCCAGCCCGTCACCATCAGATCTTCCCCAGAAACATTTTTCCATAAACCTTACATCTCACAACCCATCTCCAGGTGACATTTCTGCTGTCACAGCAACTACTCTACAGATGTGGACAGTACCACACGCCCATCTTCACACACTGGCCTGATTTACCCTTGCCTCTCCCTCCCTGGCGTGGCACCTTCAGAACTCAACCCCACATGTGTCCCCACACAGGCCAGCCAAACCCTGTTGGCCATTTGCCAGTCTTCACCAAGTTTTGACTGTGCGACCAGCCTCAGGGACATCCTGAGGTCTGACTCCACTGACACTCGCAGGCCCTGAGACGGTGAGGGGGCGGGGCAGGGAGACTGGCGAATGCTGCCAACGCCAGGGCCCCTGGGGGCATCACAGGTATTTCAGCAAAGCAAGGCTGGCCTGGGCCGGGAGGAAGGTCTGCTTTTGGTAGCACGGGCAGCTGGTGGGATCCGGGAGCCCAGGACACAGTCATCAGAATCCCCCCAAATCACACTGTTCCAGTTCTTAGGGTACCATGTTGTCTCAAATAATGCCTCCTCACATGAAACGCTTGCAAGGCTGTGAATCTACTCCCCGTTACACTTCAGAATCTGCAGCTGTGAGGGGTGCTCAAGGCACCCATAGGAAGACCCTCTGAGCAAGCCTAGAGCTGTGACTGCTAAGGTCAACCTGTGTGGTCATAAACAGAACCCACAACTGCTGGTGGCCAGCTATTCCTGTCCCTCAGCCCAGATCTTTGCCTTGGACAGAGGAGCAAGGGTGGCACAAAATTCAACAACCCACTATGAAGTGTAGACTTGTAGACCAATAAAACCAGAGTTCAGAAATGAAACACCACTTTTATGACCAACTGATTTTTTAATATTTATTTCTTAGTTTTCGGCGGACACAACATCTTTCATTTTTACTTTTATGTGGTGCTGAGGATCGAACCCAGCGCCCCGCACATGCCAGGCAAGCCCACTACTGCTTGAGCCACATCCCCAGCCTCTGACCAACTGATTTTTGATAAAGGTTCCAAGGCAGTTCAACAGTTCAATGGGGAAAGGATGGACCCTTCAACTAATGGTGCTGGAATAATATGTCCATAAGAGGGAGAAAAAAGAATTTAGGCCTTTACCCCACACCATACACAACTTGAGATACATCATAGACCTCAATGCAGAAGCTAAAATTATAAAACTTCCAGGAAAAAAGTTATAGAAAATCTTGATGCCCTTGGATCAAGTGGAGATTTCTTAGACATGATGCCAACACACAAATTATGAATTAAAAGAACTGACAGAACTAGGCTGTACCAACATCAAAGTCTCTTGCCCCTCAAAAGATCCTGACAAGAAAACATCAACTTGTGGGCTGGGGCTAGCGCTCAGTGGTAGGGTGCTCATGTAGCATGAGTGAGGCACTGGGTTCCATCCTCAGCACCACATAAAAATAAGAGATAAAGGTATTATGTCCACCTACAACAAAATATATATATATAATATCAATTTGGAAAAGGATATCCTGAAGTATTAAAAGAGCCAGGCAAATGTTAACAAAAGCTTGCTGCCTGAATATGTAATGAACTCTTACCACTCAATAATGAAAAGAACTGCATCGCACTGGGAAAAAATGGAGGTGAGGAAAACACTGTGGAGACACCAGGTGATCTCTGATGGTGAGAACGCAATGAGTGCTACAATCAATATGACCATCTGGTCTTTGCAACCGCTTTGAAC